CTGGCAAATGAGAAATTTTCATCTGATTCTGGAAGTGAATGGCAGCTGTGAAATTGTCCTCAGAGGTGTGAAGGTCACTGCCAGCCAATGAGTCCTTGTGAGGTTCTAGAACACCAGCGGAGCTTGCAAAAGCGTCGCCGGCAGAACCGTGACCACCACCAAGTGATGGGGCCAACTCCAGCAGTTCTAAGTGCAGTGCCCGTCTAAACCAAGCTTCTCTAACCTGCCACCCAGGACGGCTTTGAATGAGGCCCAACACAAATTCGTAAACTTTCTTAACACATGAGTTTTTAGTGTGTGTATAATTTTTTTTTTTTTTAGCTGATTGGCTATTGTTAGTGTTAGTGTATTTTATGTGTGGCCCAAGACAATTCTTCTTCCAATGTAGCCCAGGGAAGCCAAAAGACTGGACACCCCTGGAAAACATCACAGGTATATAACACACACACTGTTGCGGATTGAATGTGTCCCCCAAAAGATACGTTCAAGCCCTAACCCCTGGGACCTGTGGTGGGACCTCACTTGGATACAGGGTCTTTGTAGATGGGATCAAGTAAAGATGATGTCATGCTGGAGGAGGGTGGGCCCTAATCAAATGGCTATTGTCCTTATAAGAAAAAAAGTTTGGACACGGTCACCGGTAGCTGGGAAAACACTGTGACCACAGAGACAGAGACTGGAGTTAGGAGTCTATGAGCCAAGAAACGCCAGGGATTGCTGACCACCACCAGAAACTCTCCCAGCCATCTAAATATCCCAGCCACAGGTCATGATTAGGATAAAGGATATTCACGCACTAACTAAATCACACAACTGTGCACAGACATACAACAGATTCAACCTCAAAGCCTGCAGAGGGACCAATGCCATCAATACCTTCATTTCTGACTTGCGAGAATTGTGAGAATACATTTCTGTTTTAAGCCACAGTTTGTGGTACTTTGTTACCACAGCCCTAGGACTGAGGTACACATACATATATTACACACCTGGGTGTGCACACACACACACGCGTGAGCATGCACACCCAATTAAGGAAAGTGTCTATACAAGAGGTTTACTCTCTGACTGCTTTCATGAAATCACAAGCTCTCTACGCAGTGACCCACTTTCGCATTGTTAATTCACTAATTGAAAAACAGTATTTACATCCTTCCCTCATTTGAACCGCATCTTTAAAATTATCTAAATCTTGTGAGTTGGCTCTCTTCACTGTAACAATAAAATATCAACCAAAATGCATCACACAATTAAAAGACAGCAGATGTTACCCACTGGGATGGAGCTAAAATGCATCTGATGTATCTGCTGAAAAGTAGGCTCAGATCTGGCGACGGCTCTGCACCAGAAATGTTTCTACCAAGAGAGCGCTCCCCTGAAGACAGGAAGGCCCTCACCACCTCACCCCTCCCAGCAATCTACATATCCTAGCTACAGGTCAGGATTAGGACATAAAGGATATTCACGCACTAATTAATTCAGAACTGCACAGACACGGAACAGATTCAACATTCAACCTCGAAGCTGCAAAAGGAATCAACCCCGTTAATACCTTGATTTCAGACTTCTAAGAACTATGAGAATACATTTCTGTTTTAAGCCACACTGTGTGTGGTAGTTTGTTACTACAATGCTAGGACTGAAGTACACATACATGTACTACACACCTAGCTGTACATACACACACACACACACACACACACACACACACACACACACACAATTAAGGAATCTGTCAATGCAAGAGGTTTACGACCCCATCAACACCTTGATTTCAGACTTCTGAGAACTATGAGAATACATTTCTGTTTTAAGCCACACTGTGTGTGGTGGTTTGTTACTACAGTGCTAGGACTGAAGTACACATACACGTACTACACACCTAGCTGTACACACACACACACACACACACACACACACACACACACACAGAGTTAAGGAATCTGTCAATCCAAGACTTTTACTCTCTGACTGCTTTCATGGAATCCCAAGCTCCCTGCCGTGTCACCCACTTCTGCGCTGCTAATTCACTAACTGAAAAACAGAGTATTTACATCCTTCCCTCATTTGAACTGCATCTTTAAAATTATCTAAATGTTGGCTGGATGTGGTGGCTCATGCCTGTAATCCCAGCACTCTGGGAGGCCCAGGCGGGTGGATCACTTGAGGTCAGGAGTTCAAGACCAGCCTGGCCAATATGGTGAAATCCCACCTCTACTAAAAAATACAAAAAGTATCCAGGCACGGGGGCACGCACCTGTAATAGCAGCTACTCAGGAGGCCTCGGCAGGAGGATCACCTGAACCCTGGAGGCAGAGGTTGCAGTGAGCTGAGATCGCGCCACTGTACTCCAGTCTGGGTGACAGAGTGAGACTCCGTCTCAAAATAAATAAATAATATGATCCAAATCTTGTGAGTTGGCTCTCCTCACTACAAGAATAAAGTTCAACCAAAATGCATCATACAATTAAAAGACAGCAGATATTACCCTCTGGGATGGAGCTAAAATCCATCTGATGTATTTGATGAAAAGCAGGCTCGGATCTGGAGACAGCTGTGCACCAGAAATCTTTCTACCGCGAGAGAGCTCTCCCCTGAAGACAGGAAGGCCCTCACCACCTCACCGCTCCCAGCAAGCTACATATCCCAGCCACGGGTCAGGATTAGGATATAAAGGATATTCACGCACTAATAAATCAGAAGAACAGGGTACAGACATTTAAGAAGCACAGGGAGAATCCAAGGAACTATCTGGACAGGCAGATACACAGCAAAATGCCTTTCATTCAAAGCAGCTGCCCAGCTGATCGCTCTAGCAGTCATATGAGGAAAGGGGGGCTGATGAGAAAGGAGCAGTACACCAAGAAATGGGAAGGTCACAGAGCTCACTCAAAATCCAATTCCTCAACCGGGCGCCAGCCACTCCCACCATCGGCTGTGCCCTCACCTTTGTGTGGGTAACTAACCACAGGTGAGGCTGGGCCATCATCGGCTTTGTCAACCTCCAGCACTCCCCAAGGACAACACATCCCTTTGATATTCTCCACACACCCAGGCGACAGCACAGTAAATTATACCCCAAACCCACAATACTCTATACCTAAAGCTTCTCAATTAAGCAAAGCACGGGTAATTGATCAACACTCACTGGACAAAAATTGAAATCACTTTCCAGGTACAGGCTCCCTGAGCATAAGAAGGAATTTCAGGATGGCAGGACCATGGTATGAAAGAAATCACGGCTTCTCATTCACTTTCTTTCCCAAACAGCAAGTATGGCTCCCTTCATTACAAGTTACATTACAACAAGCTACGGCTCCCTGCTGCCACTGTCATGAGGCACACAGTCAAATGAACAGGAAGTAAAAGTCCGTTCCCTGGTCTCGTTAAGAGGGACAAAGACAGTGTGGAACCACCTGCTTGGTTCTACACGGGAAAGGTGGCTCAGCCATGAGAAGAATGAATTCAGCAGCACTAAGAGTCTTCCAGGCACGAGGAGCCACATATTCATAATTCTTTCAGCACCCGGGGGCCCTAGACGCACACCCACTGGGGTGCACCTGGGTGTCTGCTGCTGTCAGCTCCTCACACTCCCACAGAACAATCCCTGGGACCATGAGTGAAAAGATGAGAGGCCACATCCCCAGGGAGGGCTGCTGCAGGGCATGAGAAAAGGTCAGGGATCATGATCTTTCCCCTGACCCAGGAAGCCTTGGGCATGGGGCCCCATGGAGAGGATGAGCTAGTTCCACTCTGCAGATGAAGAAAGGGAGGTACTCACCCACGCTCCTACTCTTAACAATAATGTATTTTTAAAAACCATAGACAACACTATGAAATTTCAATGGAGTAAAATGTACTACTTGAAAAATCAAAGAAGCAGGGCGGTTAGCGATCAGTTTAGGTCCCCCCAAAATCCTTCCTTTTGATGTATAAACGTTCAAGAGAAATGCCTTGGTGTTAGTCAAAATGTAAGGGTCGATTATGCATTGCAAAGACATCACAGCTGGAACCAAACACAACGGAACACACTGTGAATGCCCAGAGGGAAAAAAGCAAAAAGCCACAAAAATGCCCAGCCATACAGCAGAAAGGCTACCATGAGGGAGGCGTGGTCCTTGTTCTTACTCCAGAGACCCAGGGCCTCCAGGGCTGCCCCACCAGACACCTGAACCCCAGAGCCAGGGACAGCCAGAGCAACAGCAACAAAACCAGAGCCCCACCCACATCTAACTTCCTGTGATCCCAGGTTGAAATCCACAGAGTTGCAGGGGCCTGAAGGTAGATTTACTCGGAAAAGGTGGTCATTTCACTTGCAGGTGAGTTAACCTCTGTATAACCTCTACAATAGCGAGCCCTGAGAAATAAGTGGAAAACCCAAGGGAACATCTCTAAAAGATTCTCTAGCTGTCATCAGCTGACTGTGGCTAAAATTCAGACTCCAACACAAAGGAGCAAATAAAAGCCATCAAAACCCAGGGACAGAGCCTTGGCAAAATGTGGCCTTTGCTCATTTCTCCAAATCATGCCATTTTCTAGCATCTGTATGCATTTCTCAGTGGAGAGGCAAGCTTTCTCTTACTGACCCCCACATACGAGCCTTCATTTCCATCTCTCATCTTCCTAAATCATCATTTCCGTACGGAAGGTCTTTTCCTGAAGCGTGAGGTGTTCATTACATGACTGCACAATTCTGCAAAACAGTGGCAGAGCCTCAAGCCACTTCTATACTTTTCCGAACGGTTCCACAGTATTCAGGACAAGAGTTAAATGCTAGGACAGGTGTTACAGGAAACAGGTGAAGCTACTTGGGACTACTGCTAAAAAGACAACTAAGGGACAAAACAGGGTGGAATGTTCAACTGAAAAAAAAGATAAAATGAAACAAAATAGGATGGCACACAGAACAAGGAGGGAAGGGAACGCTACAGTACAAAGTGGTGCCTTTCCTCTCTCTCCAAAACAAGACAAGCGCTGCCATGAAGAAAATGAATAGTTACCTGCATCCATATCTGCAAAGAATGGAACAGCCAGTAAGAAAAAGAAGGAACCAGAAATTCAGTGTCTCAGAGTTGGATTTAACAAGGTTACATGGAGAGAAAATTTCATTTAGAAAACTGCTTGTCAACTACACCCCTTCATTAGGGGACATGGGAGCTAAACGCTTTCCTATCATTATCATAACTTTATTTAAGGCAAAAAATAAAATATGGACATGTTAACTGAAGAAGTAAATGCCTAATGGCAAAAAAAAAAAAAAAATCTTACTCTCATGCAAAATGATTATTAAATGTTTATAAATATAAGGGGGGAAACATACTCAAACATATGGTGGTGGTAATCTGAACGTCTTATCCAGAAAGGCTCATATCTATAACTCAGTAACATTACATACAAATTATGTATAAATTCAATATCCAGATCACAGAAATGTCCAGTCAATATTTAAAGGAGTAACAGTGGATAAAAAGGACACTGGATTAAAAACGACATTTGAAAGGACAGAACAATTAGATAAGAAATAAATTCAATGGTATTTCATGGTTCTACTGTACTATTCCAAATATCAAAGTGAATATAATGGGTTTGCTAGAAATACTACAGAAGAAACCACATACTTAAGGGTTTTTACTGCTTGGTATGTTTTATTGCTTTCTTGACCTGTGATACATCAAAGTCATGATTTACAATATGCTAAGGAAAATTTTTTAAAAACTACATTCTTAAGCTTGCAACTGCCTGCCAAACAGCATACCTTCCGGAGACTCCTCCTGGACATAAGTGCCCGTCAGGTACCGGTGCACCAGGGCAGACTTGCCGCTGGCCAAGTTACCCACAATTCCCTGAAACAGAAACGGACAACTGTTAAGCATAAGCAAATCACTCTATTTGGCATTTTGCAAATACAAAGAGGCTAAAATAGACAGGAGGCCTAAACACAAACATAACCAAGCACTGGCTGGATGGCCAAAAACAAGCTCGTTCACTACTTCTATTGGAGTAAAAGGGAGTCCAACACTCTTAATTAACATCTCACGTTCTCATCAGCCTCAACAGCTGCAATGGCATCAGCAATGCTGGTATAAACACTGGTTTGGTATTCTTCCAGAAAACAAGCACATTGCTTACATCAGGGCTGTGTTCCTTGAGTTAGCCCGCCGGCATCTACTGTGCACCCTCCAGAGACAGGGAAAAACAGCAGGTGAGGTGGCATCCAAGGGCAGAGCTGAGTGACGTGGGCAGAGTGGCGAGGACCCATGCATGGTAGCATCTCTAGGGAATGAGTCTAGGGTAGACTTGGGGGCAGGACAACAGGAGCAGAAAAGAGCAGTGTGGGGAGACCGGGGGGTGGAGCAGTGAGGCAGGGGCCGGCCATACAGGTAAGGAGGGCACACACCTGCCTCCCAGACACAGGACCCACCACGGCATCTCCGAGAAAAAGGGGACGGTGCCGGGGCTGCTGGGAGAGACGGCAAAGGTGCTCGTTTGTGCTGGATTAGAAGCGACCCTCAGGAGTAAGGGTGACATGAGGGCCGCTGTCCTAGCAGTAACCTGGCGGTGAGGCTGACGCTCCAGGGGCTTCTTCAGAGGAAGGCTCCCTGTTGACACAGTGGACACACCTGGCCTCCAAGCCTCCAAGTGGGCGGATCCCACAGGAAGCCTCCCTTTCCCTGTGCCTGGGAGCTGTATCCCCCCGACGCTGCCTTCTGTGGGAAGCTGCTCATCAAAAATCTCCTGCATTTTAATCTTTTCCTTCCCCACTAGAACATTGCTAGCGATCAAATTTAAGCATGATCGAACTGATTCCTTTAAAAGCCCAAAACATCACAAGGGACCCATCCTTGGGCACAGGTGCTCATTAAGGCCACCTGCCATTCCCAGAGCTGGGACTCGGCCCCACTTGCTCTTGGCCCCACTTGCTCTCGGTTCCACTTGTTGACCTCCCTCCTGCCTCCACTCAAATTATCTGAAGTTCTGGCCCTGTTGCTACCAGGAAACTGCCCACTAGGTCACCCGTGACTTTCATTTCAAAGCCACTAGCCTGTCTTGCTCTGACCTGACCCCATCACCGGCAGCTGCTGCTAAGACACTCTCTTCCAACTCTCACACTGGCTTCCGCCTCTACCTCCCTCCCAGCCCTGTGGGCTCTTCCTCCATCTGCCGGCACACACTGGGGCTCGCCAGGGCTGCATCCTCACATCTCCAGCTGATCCTCCACTCTAATGTCCCAACATGTGCCTGTCCATATCCAACTTTCTCTCAATGAGCTGTGATTCCATTTAAAAGGAGACGCCCTGCAGATTCTGGAATCATAGCTCGTTGATAGAAGGATGATGTGGGGAAAAAAGCGGCCTATTCCCAAAATCTCATCCCCTGGCCGCCGTCCACCCCAGCTCCAGGCGCCCCTATTCAGCTCCCACCAGGACTTCTTATATATCCATACACCACCTACGTGGTGCTCACGCCTCGACGAGTCCACACCTCGCCTCTCTCCCCCAGACTGCTCATCAGCTCCTGAGGCCACATCACACCCAGCCTCTCAAACCAGAAAGCTGGAGGCCAGCCCCGGCTCCCTCCTGGGCACGCTGCTGCCACCTCGGTGTGGACTCTCCGGTGTGCACAGATCGAGACGGCAGCCTCTAGGGCCTCTCCCTGGCTGCAAGCACCTGCTTTTCATCCCGAGAGCACCAGAGAGGTTCCTGGAAACAAACTGACCATGAGAAAGTGGCATTCCTTCATTTCACAAGCCCTGGGAGACTCCTGCTGCCTGGAGGCCAAACTCCAAACATTTTAGGAACAAACTGTCTCCCTCCAAATCCTCACACACAACTTTGCTGGCAGCTAACGGACCCAGCAGGTCCGTGAACTTGCCACAAGAACACTTCACTACTCCTGTCACCTGAGCACCCCTCCCCTCTCACCTGATGAGGGCTTCACTTTCTCTTGGGAAGGCTTCCCTGCTTTCCTCCCACCCCCAGAGGGCCTTGACAGTGGCTGGTGAGGCCCTGGGCTCCACCTCCCACTACACTTAGGACCCTGAGGGCCAAGATCTCTGTCTCTGGATACCAGCCAGGACACCAACTCTGACTCTGTACACTTGTCATAGCTCCTGGCCCCAGGAGAGGCCTGGTAAACACAAGATGGGTCGATGGATAGATGGATGGCAAGGAAGAAGGATGGGAGGGAGGGAGGAAGGAGAGATGGAAAGAAAGGGGAGAGGAGAGGAGGAGAAACAGGAGGGAGGAAGGACCATTGATTAAGTAGATGATGAAGCCAATAGCTATAAGAACAAACAGGGCCGGGTGCGGTGGCTCACGCCTGTCATCCCAGCACTTTGTGAGGCCGAGGCGGGCAGATCACGAAGCCAGGAGATCGAGGCCATCCTGGCTAACATGGTGAAATCCCATCTCTACTAAAAATACAAAAAAATTAGCCGGGTGTGGTGACACACCTATAGTAGTCCCAGCTACTTGGGTGGCTGAGGCAGGAGAACCGCTTGAACCCGGGAGGCAGAGGTTGCAGTGAGCCGAGATCACGCCTCTGCACTCTACTCCAGCCTGGGTGACAGAGCGAGACTCCTCAAAAAAAAAAAAAAAAAAGAAAGAAAGAAAACAAACAAACAAACATAGAAGAACAAATTTTGCATGAGAGTGTAGAAAAAAGGTTCTCAGTGATTTACAGGCCACCGTGGTCTGCTGTCTGAGGGACGGCTTATGGATCCAAATGTTCTCCTTCACCCAGTCATGGCCACTCCCACTCTCTACTCATCAGCCAGAGTGGCCTTTCTAAAACCTATACCCAGTCCTTTCCTCTTTTACACCCCAGTTACAACCCTCCTGCCTCTCACCTTCCTGCTCTCTGCTCGGCCTTCTAGTCAATCAGCTACCAAGCCCCATCCTAACAGGCCTTGCTGTCTCCAGGCAACTAAAGCTTTCCACATCAATCATTCCCTGAAACCTACTCTTTCTATCAGTTCAGATGTCACTTCCTCTGAGAAGCCTGCAGCTATGGTAGGAATATTTAGGCTTCCCCCTCCTACCCACACGCTCCTGGCCAAACTCGTATGTTGAAACCTAACCCCCGGCTGGGCACGGTGGTTCACGCCTGTAATCCCAGCCCTTTGGGAGGCTGAGGCAGGTGGATCACCTGAGGTCAGGAGTTCAAGACCAGACTGGCCAACATGGTGAAACCCCACCTCTACTAAAAAACACAAAAATTAGCCAGGCGTGGTGGTACATGCCTGTAATCTCAGCTACTCGAGGCTGAGGCAGGAGAATCACCTGAACCTGGGAGGCAGAGGTTGCAGTGAGCTGAGTTTGCACCACTGCACTCCAGCCTGGGTGACAGAGCTGACAAAAAAGAAAAACAAAATAATACATAATTTTTTTAAAAAAGAAACGTAACCCCCGAGGTGATTGTATTACGAGGTGAGGCAGTTGTGGCAGCAGATTAGCGCCCTGATAGAAGAGGCCTGGGAAAGATCTCTTGCCTCTTCCTCCACGTGAGGACACAGCAAGAAGATGCCACCTACAAACCAGCAAGCAGGTCCTCAGGCATCAAATCTGCAGGCACCTTGATCTGGGACTTCCCGGCCTCCACAACTGTGAGCTACGCACTTCTGTTGTTTATCAGCTGCTCGGTGTATGATATTTTGTTACAGGAGCCGGAAGAGACGAAGATACCTTCCTAATGCCACAGTCTCAATTGGATGCCTCTCCTGAAAGCGCCCTTAGGCCCCTGCCCCAAGGACATCTTACAAGGGAACACATTATTTTGGAAACAAGAGTATGTTGATCTGGCTCCCTCCAATACTGACAATTCCTCAAAGGCAGGCACCCTGTCTTACTTGTCTTGTTCTCTGAATTCCTGAGTAACACAGAGCCCAAGGTAGACGCTCAACAGCACTGGCCGAGTAAATGAACGACTCCACTGCTGGTGAGTATGAATGAGATGCTTATTACTAAGGCTCAGAGCCAGGCTCAAGTCAGGCTGTGTGGACAGATTCTAAAAAAAGCTGTTTCCCCTCCTAATTCGACATATATCTTTTTTTACCCTGGGGCCTCTATAATCTGAGAATTTCCACCTACTAATTATTCTTTTGCTCAAGGGCACCACTGTTTGTCAGCTTCATGCTGGGAAAATCCAAAACAGTATGCCACAGAATTAAATTTTTAATTAAGATCAGTTTCTCTTTCCCGAGGAAGAAAATGCTCAAAAACCAAACATCCTTTGGTCTGCGCCTTCTCTGCATAGCAACGTTCCTGCCTTCTGCCTAACAAGACGGGCAAAGACTAAGCTCACACCTTAGGGGAACAAAGGCAATCAATCTTGGAGTGCAGTGGAAGGGGCTTGGTTTGGCTGGAACAGCCATCTCACAGACCACCTCACAGTCACACATGATGGCATTATTTTACTTTGAAACGCTGGTGGAAATGAACGGTTGATGGTGAAAGGAAAATAAAATAAGGGGTCAGAATGCCCTTTCAAGTGCATCACGTCACCCGTGAAGGTGTCGGAGCGGCTGCTGGAAGTAAACCAAGATGGAGGAAATCAATCCAGAGCGAGCCAAAGAGTTACGTGAGGAGGAATGAGGTGTCTTAAAAACCACAGAACTACACGCTCAAGGCAGGAAGAGTTCGCCACTGTCAACCCCGCATCGTCTGTGCAGGGCCATGAAGTGTGTCGGAGCCCATACTCGGCCCTTCATATTACAAGGCCAAAGGGAACGCAGTGTCTTTCTGAACTGTTTTTCTCCAGCGCCCCACACTTCACCACTGACCTGCTAACCTTGAGGTTTGCTAAGAAGGGAATCAAGGCTTTTAGAAAAATCCCAGTTGGTGTTCAATGAAAACACACAAATAGGATGTGAGGAGCTGGGGACTGAGGTCCCCGACACAGGCAAGACGTCCAGGGCCTATCTACCTTCCCCTCCGACACAAGCATCAAGTCTTTACCGTTGTTGGGCACACATCTGCAGCCAGCGGTGGTTCGCTCCTCTGCAGCACCAAAAGCAATTGGTCATGGACGATCTGACCACAGTGCAACTTCAGAAAACGTAAGGCCGGGTGCCGTGGCTCATGCCTGTCATCCCAGCACTTTGGGAGGCCAAGGCAGGCGGATGACTTGAGGTCAGGAGTTCGAGAACAGCCTGGCCAATGTGGTAAAATCTTGTCTCTACTAAAAATACGCAAATTAGCCAGATGTGGTGGTGGGCGCCTGTCATCCCAGCTACTCAGGAGGCTGAGGCATGAGAATCACTTGAACCCAGGAGGCAGGTTGCAGTGAGCCGAGATGGCCCCACTGCACTCCAGCCTGGGTGACAGAGTGAGACCCTGTCACAAAAAAAAAAAAAAAAAAAAAAAGAAAACATAAGGCATGGTACTACCACTCTTGAGAAGAAAGCGAACATTGAACTTTTTTCTCTGACAGATTTCAAAAGATTCATTGCAAAATGTTACATAAAGGGCCTACTGGAGACTTGCCATGACATCATGTCACTGCTGCATTTGCGAAGCAGGGGCTGGGATCCTCAGACGCTGACCTAAAGGGCCACCTGTCCTGGGGGGGCTGCACTAGGAAGGAAACAATTGCAGCCCTATAGGCACTTGGAGGCTGCTTAGGAAACAAAGCAGCACTTTCTTCAGACCCTGAGCACTCCTTAGCACACAAGGGATCTGCTGGGGCTGCCGATGAGGACCAGCGCCCGCTGATGCCACACAGGAAGGCACTTGGGCTAGAGCAGAGCTGGTGGGCCTGCCAGGATCTAGTCCATCCACACTGAGGCCAGGGACAGGAGCGTTCTGAGAACTGTAGAACCAACAACAATGAAGTCCCCGGTGTCAGCAAATTGAAGCAAGCCTTAAGACAATCCGTTTCAGAATGAGGAGCCCCTGCTGCCTTAAATGCAACTGTCTCTCCTCCAGCTCTAGGCAGATATTCCAGAAAATCACATGCCTTCAAAATACTGGTAGAGTACAAGTTTTTGGTGGTAAGCATCCTCGATTACGGGTTGGTATGATCATGTGGGCCCTCTCTAAACCTGTAACACCTGGAACTACCAAGTCAGGAGGTTCGATACTTGACGATCAGTTAGTCTGTAATGTTGGCACTGGGGTGGCCACTGGCCCTGTGTGGCTATTTCAATTTAAATGAACTAGAATCAAACTTAAAATGCAGCTCCTTGATGGCACTGACCGGCCACATTTCAATCACTCAACAGCCACATGGTGCCAGCCACGACCGCATTGGGCAGTGCAGACACAGGAGGTTTTTACCATCGAGAAAGTTCTATCAGGCAATGCGGTGGTGGAAGCCCTAACTCCAGGTTCAAACCTCAGCTCCACCACTTACTGTGGCTCCTTGGGCAAGTTCTTCATGTCTCTGAGCCTCGATTTCCTCATCTGTGAAATGGGGATAACCATACCTACCCCTCCCCATGGGGCAGTTGTCAGGAATTAAGTAATGTTGTCAAGCACTCAGAACACGACCCGCACAGAGCCGAGCCAGCGCTGTATCGACACCATCACCACCAGTAAAGCACCGTGCCTGCTGTTCCGTGCCCATCACAGCACCCGAGTGGCAGGGGCTGTCTTAACAGGGAGTAACTGAAACTGGGGGATTGTTCTGGAAATCTCCTGGTAACAACATTGCCAAGCCTGTGCCATTCATTCAACGCATATTTCCTGGACGGCTTCAATGGGCTTAAGACACCCTGCCAGTGCCGCGGTGACAAAGCACACAAAAGGCAGAAAGAGGAGGCTCTTTGCAGGCCAGTCTTGCGGAACCCCAGGCTTCTGAGACAGCACTGGGACTGAGAGATGCTTTGTCTCCCATGGGCGAGTGCTGCAGGGACAGCCCAGAGACCTTCAGGGAGGAACGGGGCAGGGGGCAGACACTGGGAAGGAGATGGGCCCAGCCGACGACACCCCGTGGTCGCAGTGGGGATGGGTGTGTCAGACACCAATGAGAGAGAGGGCACAGTGACCACAGGGCCTTCCATCTCAGGACACCTCCCACTCATTGTACTTCATCTCCTAAGTTTAAAAACGAATACTTTTCCTGGTGACAAAAGTGTCTTCAAAGACCTAGAAGTTCTTTGTTGCTCTATCTCCTCATCTCAGACAGGAAAGACCGAAAGGATCCTGTCTCCTGGCCCGTCCTGTCCTCCAAGCACGCAATGAGGTTGGGGGTCAGTGGGGAGGAGTCCACGGGCCGCAGGGGATCTGGTGCTGTCTATAGAAATGCAGAGGACAGAGACACCAGGCAGGCCCATGCCGGAGCCTGTAGAACAGTGAGAGCTCATCTGCTTTCCTTTCATGGTCAAATTAGAAAATACATACACACACATATAGAAATTAGACATATATGCACACATATATACATACATACATAAATATAAACACACACGGAAATTAGACATATGTACACATATATACCTACATACATAAACATACACACAGATACCACATATTTCACCACAAAGAACGTGGTTGTTTCAAAGTTCAACTTGCCCCTTCCTTCAGTCCTATGGTGGGTGGTGACTAGAGGGGAGTGGCTGGAAAGGGTGGCTGCAATGGACCACTTTTTACATACGCCAATTCGAAGCTCTAGATAATTTCACCAAAAGGGTAAAGTTCATAATAAATGATAAAAATTTTAATTTTATGGGCGGGCGTGGTGGCTCAAGTCTGTAATCCCAGCACTTTGGGAGGCCGAGACGGGCAGATCACGAGGTCAGGAGATCGAGACCATCCTGGCTAACACGGTGAAACCCTGTCCCTACTAAAAAATACAAAAAACTAGCCGGGCGAGGTGGCGGATGCCTGTAGTCCCAGCTACTCGGGAGGCTGAGAGAGGAGAATGGCGTAAACCCAGGAGGCAGAGCTTGCAGTGAGCTGAGATCCGGCCACTGCACTCCAGCCTGGGCGACAGAGCGAGACTCCGTCTCAAAAAAAAAAAAAAAAAAAATTTTTTTCATTTTATGCCAATACTTGGTCATAGGGTAAATAGTTACATTTCAAAAATGATGGATGCCAAAGCTTGGCGACCCATTACAGAAGCTTTCCGTGACATCCTGCAAAGGACAAATCAACCCACCCACGAGATATAAGAGAGAGGAGGATGATGGCCTCTGCCCGGCACACGAAACGCCACCCTGGCTGGGTGGCAGTCATGGCTGTCGTAGCTGTCCCAGGGGCACTCAGGGACTTGGACTCTAGTCCCAAGCTACCAGCTACACCTGGCCCTTCCCAGGAACACACCCAGAGTCACACTCCCCGTTTGGGCCCCCGGCGATGACCAGCTGCCTGGGAATGCAGGCTTGGTTGTGCACAGAGCCCCTCCCTTCCCACAGGTGAGGAAGGACAACTGCCAGGGCCAGAAGGAACCACTCACCACTTTGAGCTCCGGGACAGATCGACTCAGCGTCCATTCCTGGCTGTTCACAAAGGCATCTGAAAAAGAGGAGGACACAAAGTCAGACACCACAACTCACGTAAAGGCCAAGTCAAAGTACCTTCAATGGACCATATTCCCATCCGAAGGTCACCGGAGATGGTGCAGACCAGCCTCCCTGTGTCACTGCCACTCCAGAAAGAGCAGTTTGTCCCAGTTCATGACACTCAGCTAGATGCCAGTGGGGTGTTCCAGCTCCAAGTCTGAGGTCGGTAACACATGCTCTGTCCAATGACTTCGAAAGTTACTGAAAAATCTAACTTTTCATTTTTCCCCTGCTCAAGCCACAGCCCTTCCTAAGGAGGAGCATGTATCTTCAGACCCTCCTGACTGTGCCTGCTCACAAGTGTGGAGATATTTAAGGACACGCCTAGCTTTCTGGGAAGTGATTCTGTTAGAGCCAGTAGGTCCACTTTTGGTCTTTTGGTTGTCTACTACAATAGTCACTTTTCTGAAATCCCACACACACAGAAAAAAGTACGACGACTGAATTTGAAGATCTTAACACTCACAATGTAAGTAAACACTTTAGTGTTTATAAATAACAGATTATAGCTCAGAAGAAAGATCTGGTGCTAGAGTTTTGATCCTCACAAAGATATTAAACACTGAAGACCCAGCCAGGATGGTTTAGACTATGTCAGAAAGATGCAGGGCTCCTAAGCTCCATGGGGTGGTCTACAGAGCCCTGTGCAGGGGCACTCTCCCGCGCCTCCCCTGATGGGCTGTGCACAGGGCGCCCACCCGATACAGATGACCCAAACGACCATGGCTTAACCTGCGACCCAGTTTTCCACACCCACCACAAGCCACTCTTATCATAAATGAGACCCCACAATAGTAGCCATGATCTGTCCTGATGACCACGTGGCAGCTCGGTCAACACAAGCCGAGTGGGCTGGACTAGAGGAAGGAAGTGCATCCCACTCACAGAAAAACAGCTCTTTCCACATGGGATTCACTTCCGATATACTGTCCTCCAATGTTGAAACTCACTCGACATTATGTCTAAGAGGTGACATGATTCGTAAGATGCCTAAAAGTTAAGAAAAACCATCACCTTCAAAGAACTGTGTGATATGAGGACCACATGGATGCAGGGCTGGAAGCCAAGGGCCTGACCAGACCACGGATGTGACACAGGAAGGCAGGACTGGCATCTGAAGGAGGCCAGGCACACCCTGGGTAGCACAATCCACCAGGTCACACGATGGGGGAGCACAACCCACCATGTCACACGCTGGGGGAGCACAACCCATCAGGTCACACACTGGGGAGGGAGCACATCTCACCAGGTCACATGCTGGGGAGCACATCCCACCAGGTCACACGCTGGGGGAGCACGTCCCACCAGGTCACACGCTGGGGGAGCATGTCCCACCAGGTCACACGATGAGGAGCACATCACACGCGGGGGAGCACGTCCCACCAGGTCACACGCTGGGGAGCATGTCCCACCATGTCACTTGCTGGGGAGCACGTCCCACCAGGTCACACGCGGGGGAGCACGTCCCACCAGGTCACAGATGGGACAGGGCACATCTACCCAGTGTGTGCTGGGCGGGGAGCCGGGGGGGCAACAGCGCAGCAAACCAACCAGATGCCACAGGCCCTACAACGACAGCACCAAGGGTCTCCCGATGTCGAGTGAGACATCCAGTCAGAGGAACACTCCCTGCTCCAGAAAAGGATGGCTGGGTAGATCAGGAGATCTGAGTGATCTCTAGAGGGCAGAGACTTTTGGGGCACAAAAACGCCTATCCAGCCGGCAGAGCAGGCCGGCAGAGGCCCATCTGCAGGAGCTCAGGAGGAAAGCACAAGAGCCCTGAGGAAGAAGACGCCTGGGAGGCGGACTTCTCCCTGCACCGCCCACAAAGACTCCAAGTTACTGTCCCTCTACTCTCCTCCCACTGACACGGACGCATTGGCAGCTAAATATCGGGGGTGCACATTGTGATTTTGCATAATTGCGCACCCAAACACCACCCCAACACGCTGCAGACAAACTTTACCCGTGGACAGATGACGTGAGGAACGCACTAGCATGGGCACTCAGCAGGCGCTCAGTGGTAACTAATTGTGTCTTAATACCATGAGTGAACAGCATTACCAATTAAGTTGCAAAACACTTCTTTCTGTTACCAACTACTCTCGCAGAAAAACGGCAATGTGGCCTCAGAGGATCTGCAGGGTGACCCCAATGGTCCAGGGAAAACTGAAAGGTCAATGATGATGACTCCAAAATGCATGCACCAATAGTGTCCAGCTTCTCAGAACGTCACCCTGTTGCTGCACTGTAACAAACCACACCCTGGTTAAGTAACTGTGGATATATCCACATAATGAAATAGTAAAACCAGTAATTGAAGCTCAACATACTGCAGTGGAGATCCCCCAAGGTCCCCAGGCTATTATCAAATGAAGACAGCCAGGCATGATGCAGAGATGGATGGATAGGACCCTCACAAACACATTCCTAAAAAGTGTATGGGGGGTGAGGGGTGCAAAACATGCATATGCTTGTCAAAGCTGAGACTGTTTCTGGTAAAATTTCAAACTTAACAGGTGCTGATTTAGGGTTAGGAACTGGATGGCTGAAGTCAAGGGTGATGAGACGATTTTCCTTTCATTGTTACCTTCTGGCACCTTTTAAGTTTTATTCCGTTTGGCACATAAGAAATTAAATTGTGAAGTTTTAAAAATGAACTTTAATAGTAAAACAAAGAGGGTAAACTGTGAATTAAAATTAGCTCTATTCATCAATGCACTGCTGATTTTTCAACACATACCACCATAAGATTAACTTTCTAACAATAAATATAAAATATTCATTATAAATTAACAGTGCTCCATTAAACAAAGATGCATGATTATATAAACATTGGAACAATGTGAGGCATCTTTTTACTTGCAAATACATCCTCACTTGAATGGAACATATTTGTGTTTGTGGCAACAAGAGTAATAAAATACATGCTAGACTCAATTAGCCAAAACTCCTCATCTTCCATTAAAAAACATTTATTTTAAAAACTTTCATCACCTCCGTTACTGCCCAGTCAAAATGGAATGCTGCCTCCTACAAAGCTAAATGAAAATTAACAAAGATTCGCGAAAGCCATACATACCAAAATAGTCCTTCCTCCTACTCCACTATGGGGACCTATCTGTGAGCTGGACACGGTGCTGGCGTGCAATTGTTCATCACTCAGCAGGTGGGGTTGAGGAAGGGCGGGGCAGGGCCCAGGCCAGCTGTTCTGCCTCCTTCTGAAGTGCAGGAACACCGGAAGGATAAACATGCTTCAGGGAAACACAGCTGGGCATGTGCGCATGAGTGTGTGGATGCACATCCGGATACATGCACACCTGTGTTCCTGGATCAGCCAGAATCCAGCGTCACAGAGGATGCAGCTCGTTCTCAGAAGTGTCTCGACCAGGAGTTCAAGACCAGCCTGGACAACATGGCGAAACCTCGTTTCTACTAAAAATACAAAAATTAGCCAGGCGTGGTGGCACATGATTGTAATCCCAGCTGCTCAGGAGGCTCAGGCAGGAGAATCCCTTGAACCCAGGAGGCAGAGGTTGCAGCGATCCGAGATCCCACCATCGCTCTCCAGCCTGGGTGACAGAGTGAGACTGTCTCAAAAAAACAAAACAAAACAAAACCACGTCTTGTGAGTGTCTTACAGTTGAGGTTGGTGACAGTAATGATCCTTCCCAAGAGCTAGCCAGGTGCTGGGCTCACTGACCACTGCAGCCCTTCAGGGCAGGTTCTCCCTGCTGCTGCCCCTGGACATAGCTGGACACTTGGGAAAGTCCCCCTTGGCAATGCCAGATTCTAAAACCCTCCCTCATTACCTGCTGTGTGGCTCAGAGTCTGCTTGCCCTAGACTCACCTGGGACGCTTAGCAAAGCCGGCAACAGGTGAGCATCAGCCAGGACTCTGGAAATTAGAGCCTACAAATCGGCATTTCTTTTTTCTTTTCTTTTTTTTTTTTTTTTGAGACAGAGTCTCACTCTGTTGCCAGGCTGGAGTGCAGTGGCACGATCTTGGCTCACTGCAACCTCCACCTCCCGAGTTCAAGCAATTCTCTTGCCTCAGCCTCTCGAGTATCTGGGACTACAGGCGCCCACCACCACACCCGGGTAATTTTTGTATTTTTAGTAAAGACGGGGTTTCACCATGTTGGCCAGGATGGTCTCGACCTCCTGACCTCATGATCGCCTGCCTCGGCCTCCCAAAGAGCTGGAAATATAGGCAAGAGCCACTGCACCTGGCCTCAAATCAGCATTTCTAACAAGCTCCCTGCAGAGCTCTGTCCACGCTTTATTACTCTCTATCTTCAATTTTTCAAAATTTGCTAGGCAGATGTTACAAGTGCAAAACACCAAGAGTGGGAATTTCTGAGAAATGTGAAAACAGCACAGGTTGTCATGGGCAGAAAGTGCTGCAGTTACTGAGGCTAAAGGCTCTTACCCCACAACGCAGCCCTCAGAGATGAGTCCTGCTTTTCCCACCTGGCCCTGCCCATCCCAGTGTCCATGGGAGACCAAGAGGAGGCAGAGGGAAATTGGTGAGGGGTCAGGGAGCCAGGAGTCATGGGTCTGACAATTACCTCAGTTAACTTTCTGGTCTCTCCATTTCCTTGCCATAAAACAGAAGCATTTCTGGCCGGGTGCAGTGGCTCACGCCTGTAATCCCAGTACTTCGGGAGGCTAAGGGGGGTGGATCACCTGAGATCAGGAGTTCAAGACTAGCCTGCAGGCGGATCACCTGAGTTCAGTTCGAGAATAGCCTGCAGGTGGATCACCTGAGGTCAGGAGTTCAAGACTAGCCTGGTCAACATGGCAAAACTCCGTCTCTACTAAAAAATACAAAAATTAGCTGGGCATGGTGGCAGGCGCCTGTAATCCCAGCTACTTGGAGGTTGAGGCAGGAGAATTGCTTGAACCAAGAGGCAGAGGTTGTGGTGAGATGAGATTGTGCCACTGCACTCCA